TGGGAGTTTGCGGATGGGAGGTTTGCTTTCTTTCACTAAGACCCAGTGAAGCCTTTACCTCAATGTACGTGGGAGATGAGATAAAAACGACATAAAACTCTCTGGGTTGTACATTTTCCACATAAATCTGGGAGCACTATTAAGGTGGCTATTAAAATGACCTACAGATTCACAGGTTGGTTTACCTTGAGGACCACACTAAGCAAACAATAAGTAGAATCCAAAGAGACTTCTAAACCATCTAAGAAAGAAACCCTGACTTTCAGGCTTTCAGAAAAAGTTACTCTATTTACATCACAGAAAAGAAGAAATAACTACTTTAAACGTACTAAATGTTTGTAGGTTCTCAATGTTGTATTATTTGTTTCACCACATTTGCCCCTAATTGCTCTGTATCTTAAGTGATTAATAGTAAGACAACCTGGGTGTTTGTTTTGAGGAGCAAGAAGGACAGAATTGCATTGACAGTGTGATGGAAGAAGGGAAGACATGGTGAATTTACTGCCTTGGCCCAATTATTTCCTGCATCCTGTTTGACAGCTAAATACTAGGAATGCAAATGCAAATTTTTAAAATATGCCTTACTTTCAAAGAAATGGCAAGAATCAACAATTATAGTTCAAGATAGTGTTTTGATAGAAGTAAACAGGGTCCTATGATAGAAGAAATGAAATTCAGATGGTCTTGCACAGCGGGGAGGCTGGACATAACCACACCTGAACTGAGTCCTAAAAGAAAAAGTAAGGTTAGCCTTAGTGAAAGTGGGAGATGGGAAAGAGGGCATTTCTGGTCGGAGAAAAGGAGGTGCAGAACTACTGTGAATTAGTATGAAATTGTATGACATTTGGGGAGCTGTATGTGTGCAAAATATGAAAAGTAATCTGGGGAAGTAGTATAAAATGAAACAGACCAGAGGGGGATCATGAGAGGCCTTATGCACTAAGCTAAAAAGTTTAACCACTAACTATCCTGAAAATACAAAGAGCCTTTAAAAGATTAAATTAACCAGGGAAATAAAGCAATAGATTTGTCTTTCAGAAAGATCACTTTCATTCTGGAAAGCAATTTGACAATTTACCAAAATCCTATAAAATGTACATACTATTTGTGAAATTAATGTCTTCTTTTTCTGAGAAGTAAAATGTGGACTAAAACATGTTTAAGAGTCCTTTTCCCCAGCCTGCAGTAGAAGGAAACATGGACAACGTCTTGCACAGAAAGAAGGCAACCTTCTTGGCTCTGTAATATGTCATTTATTCAGAAACTAGTCCACCAAAGAAAAACCCTTTATCTGACTAGTCAAGCTAAGACAAAAATCCCAAAGATTGTCTCGTAGGTTTCTTGTTATTCAACTTACAGTGAGTAAAAGTGCTTTGTCAAATGGTTTTCTACTGAGCCTATCTTTACTCATCTAAAATATAGTCTTTATCATAACTATTATATAGACTTCAAGGTTGGATAAGTGTTTGAAGGCATGAAACATGATTAGTACAGAAAATACAGTTGTTTAAATGGTACCTAATAAATGTAAAGGAACTTAAAGTGAGTGTTCTAGATTTTCCTCCTTCCCTTTTTCCAAACTCAACTCAGTCCTTGTGATTCTTATGTTATAAATGCTCAGTGTATCTTTTGGTGTTGAAGGAAAGAGAGAGAGAAAAAGAGAGAGAACTATTCCATTATAAATTTAATTATATTGCAAGCATTATTCACAACCATTTTAAAAATATTAATTTGGAAAATCACAACATACTAAGTGAAAAAAGGATATAGAAGTATAATGGGGTTCAGGACATGCTACACCAATATATGGCATCTCGACACTTGAGAAAACCACAGAAGCAGGAAGGTCACTCTCAGCTTCCCTTTGCCCTTCACCCCTAGGGCAGGCCAAAGACCCTCTTTCAAGAGATGAACTCCCTGTACCTGGAGGAAAGGAACACAGAAAAATCTGAACAAACAGGCTTTGCTAAGTTCCCCCAGTTTATAATCATTTGATTAACCCACCCTATCCAATCATACTTCTCCATGATTATCTACTCTTCATCAAACTTAAGCATAAAAATACACAAGTTTATCTGTTTCTTTGGATCTTCATTTCTGAAGGCTCACATGTCATGTTAAACTTACTTTAAAAACATCTGTATGCTTTCCTCTTGTTAATTTGTCTTTTGTTATAGGGACCTCAGCCATGAACCCAGGGATGGGAAAGAAAAGTATTTCTCATCCCTTACAACTATATACAATGGGATCTTGGTTTTCTTATTAGATATAATTGTGTATATATATATATAAACATTTGCACAAACACAAATAATTTCCTTATATAGTTAACATATGCATGATACATAAAATTCTAAAGAGATTTGCAAAGATTTATAAAGGCTGTGGCTGACTCTTGGATTGCAAGTCATTTTAAATTTTCTTTATATATTCCAATTCTTGTTTCAGATTTTCTGCAGGAAGCAAGTATTTTATAATTGAACAAACTGGTATTTTTAAAATAATATTGTTCTATATTTACATAGAGAAAGGATAGAAAAGGACAAGGCCGGGGCAGACGTCCATTGTTTCATGACTGATAAACTAATCTGAGTGAGAGGTGTGAGACCTGGAATGCATGGATGAGGGCAAGTATGAGAGAGATCATTTAACAAAGTAGAACCCACAGAAGTTGGATACAGGATGGCGATGGTGTAGAATAAATGAGGAAACAGAAGAGTCTAAAAGAACAAGTGGATGATTGTGCCATGCCCTGAGGTAGGAAATAGAGCA